TCCCATGTCAAAGGATGAAGAGAACACATCCAGCCACTCACAGTCAGAGAAACAGGACTACACTAGAAAAACAGGCCAAACTCCAACATCTATAAACAAAGGTGTTGATGGCAGCAGCACAGCTGATATTTCTCTCCAGGATGGAGTCACAGCCAAACAGGAACAGACCAGATGAAGCTACTATGAGAAAAAGCAGAGAGTGCAGAACGTTACCTAGATACACTTAAATGGAATCCAGCTGTGAGTCTTTGATAGGACTAGAAAATGAACGTTAGCAGAGGCTTCATCTCCAGTCTGAAGCTTTCCTGAGACAGACTGTGAAGAAAAAAAAGGTAGTATTGTCAAATGTACGATATTGGTAGAGATATAACTTCAAAAAGGTATAGTTGTAAATCCAATGAAATTTGATTCTACAAAATGTTAATGCGTCTAGGAGAATAAATACAAATGGAAACCACACATATTTTTATCTGTTATGATATCCCTTTTTTTAATTATACAAAAACAAGTGTTGGTTTCAAGCAATCTGAAGGTTTCTGAAGCTTATTAGGTCTGCAGTGGGATTCTGAGTGAGCTGACTGTAAAAGAAAATGGAGGTATCTTCTGTAAAGATTTTTTTTTTAGTTTGCAGTAAAACAGTACCTTTAGTGTTTTTGTAGGTTGTCCAGACCTCCTCTTTTACCCGAACATGTCCTACTTTTCATACCTAAAGAAATGTCCGGTAGGAATTTCAAAATAATCCTGGATTTTGGTTGACTACAATGCAGCACGTGGTCGAAACAGGGAGCCAGCGGGGGACGGAGCCGAACCGGTGACGGTAGCCTGGACGATGGTGGCCCCGTCACCGGATCGGGTTCGGTCGCTCCGTCCCCTGCTGGCGCACACTCCGGTACAGTCAGCAGCCCAGAACCAGAAGGGTTGTGAGCACCAGATAGGATTTGGTTTTTCAGGCTGAGATCTAAATGGTCATTTTTGCCCCTGTGATTTTCTGTGAGTGTGTTTTACATTAACGTCATTTAAACAGATGACAAACAAACAGAACTATTTTTATTATCTGAAGTTAATGGACAGGAGGAAAAATGACCACAGGATACTATAATAGATATAAATTAGTATATAAAACTAGTAGAAGACCTATACAACTATCTATTATAATTTAAGAAGTAGAACCAAGTCACTTAGTTTTATTAACCAATCAAATTTTCTGTTTATGAACATTTAATTTTTTAAAATCTACATTTTTATTTTACCAATCCACTCCTTGGCTTCGTAGTTCAGAGTGACATCGGTTTCATTTGTTCTTGGTTGTTAACTGATAACTGAAAACTAGTTTTGAGATGCTGCAAGCATCTCACATGTCATATGACCAATGACAGAAAGTTATGTTATTTTCTTTATCATTAAAATAAAATGAGAAAAAAGTTAGCATTTTGTATAAACAATCCAGATGTTCATTTTGAGCAATATCGTACAGCTTTATTATCATTATAGTTTTTTATACAAAGTCTAATGATAGCCCGGTAGCCTGGGTAAGTCATAAAACTGTAAAAACTAAATGCAGCAGTTCCCTAATAATGTTTTTTTGTTTTTGTTTTCTTGTCAAAAGAGGATTTTTTTCCCCCAGTATGTCTTAAGGAAGTTATGTCACAAAATCCACATGTCAGTTTACTGGAATTACAGGTACAGACCGACACAAGTATGTAAATGGTATTTTTACAGGCCTATGATAAAAAAAAAAAAAAACTTTGACAGAAAAAAACACTTTGCCATGTGATTAAGGAAGCTGTCATTAGAGATCAGACCTCAGCCAAACAAAGCAACAGCAGAAGCACAAAATGCTTAGAGATAAAGAATGAAGGAAAAACTTTTTAAGAGGGCAGGAAGTACGAGTAGCTAAAAGTACCTGGTGCTATTTAAAAATGTTACAGTAATTAGTCACAAAAACCTGTTTTAGATAAATAGGGGTTTGATAAATACAACGTTCTCATGTCCTTAATCCACATTAGAATTGTATATAAAGATAAGCAAAAAATAAGGTTTGTAAACGATTTCAATCTTTTTTCCCTAATAATTGGTTGTGGCAATGTTTCGGCTTCACGTTAAATAAGAACAGCTGATCTTTAATCTTCTACAGTGAAATGAGTGAAATATTTTATTAGATAACACAGAGACTTTATAGGGAAGCAAACTGGCTGTGAACAGTGTGAGATTACTGTATTTCCTAAAGATGGTGTTTCCTTTAGTTGGTTACATTTATTAATTTCTCTAAAACTTTAAATATTTTACATAAATAATCTTAAAAACTGCAATATTGAATATTGATACAGTGGTGTCAGGGGAAAGCAGGGAAAAAGCAACATAAATCCACCCTATCGAAAGTTGGGTGTATTTACATTTACATTCTCGTTGTTTGCTAATTTTAATGCTTTATCAGTAATCGCAAACGCTTACTGTAGGCTGGCCACACAACCACTAAAAGAAGAATGGTTGGCTGCTGGAAACCACCACATACACTATCAGTGAGGGAATGTCTCCTCACATACCAGGACTTTGCACAGTAGGAGCTCTCTACAGCTCACTCACATTATGCTAAAATCTCTAATGATAATTTTTGGTCTTAACTCCTAAAACAATTCAGCATTATGGTGCAGTTTAGAGGTGGTATAAAAAATTGATTATCAATTAATCCTGAGTATAATATAGTGTTATAGTAACGACCGTGAATTGATCATTACATTTTCAAAATTTGTTTACTTTTTCTACAAAATTTTATTTTGTAAAAATGTTGTAAGTAAGTAATATTTATTTATTTTGCACCTTTCACAGACATAGAGGTCACAAAGTTCTTCACAAAATTAACCCTTTAAAGCCTGGACCATGAAATAACTTTCATGACATTCAAATTTTTTTAAAAATTAGAATTGGCACTGAACTTTCTAAAAAGGGAAAAAAGGTTTTTGGTATTAATTACATTTGGATCCTTTATTCGCATCATTTGTCATTCAGTAGGCATTTTTGTATGATATTTTATACATCTTCTGTTCACTTTGTGTAGGTCTGAGTTTTCAACTAAAGAAGTATCACACTTATGATGCAGATATGGTACGCTTGGTTTTAAAGGGTTAAAATACAAATAAAATGCATTTACAGTTACAAATGCATGGTCATAAAAAAAACCCTTAATCTTCTGGAATTAAGATGCTTTCTTAAACAAAAAGGTTTTCAGTTCACTCTTAAAAACATCAACAGAATCAAGTAAGCTCAAGAAAAAGCGAAAGCGACCGCCTGACAGGAGTTATCATGTGGTCAACAGAAGTTGAACGTCATGCAAAGTCCCACACTTTGAAAGTGTGTTTGAATGTTTATTCATTTAACTAACAGCAAATATGATGTAAACAGCACTGAAGTGAGTTTGCAATATAACAGCAATGGAGCTCAATAGAATCAGAGATAGACTGGGGGGATGGATACCAAACCAATAAGCTAAGAAAGCTCCTCTGGATTAGTTCTGTTCTGTGATAGGGTGATCAAGTGGATCCAGTTGGTTTGCCTAGCCAAAGCAATTCCATCCCTGTAATCCAGTCTAGTTTGTCTAGTTTGCTCCAGCTCTTTAGGGCTTCCCTATCACTCCAAAGATGGATCCCAACTGCTCAGGTTTGTTGTTGAACACGAGTGACTGTTCACACCTTTGACCTTTGAACCAACCATGCAGAGCCACTGGGAGCAGGGAGAATTTACGGAGGGACTAACTAAAAAAAACCACCAATTATCAATACATATTACCGCTAAACCCAATTTACACCTTCATCCTAAATGTAACACTCAAACAAACAGGAGAACTTTTCCTCATGGTACCTGTTAAGCGTTGGTTATACTTCTGCAGCAGTGTGTCGCAGTGAGCTTGTTGCAGAGATTTTTGATTTATGCCCAGTATTGAAGCGTGGTCTTGCTATGTTATTCCACACCACAACGCAAGAGGGACAATGAGGAACTAGCTGTGGGTCTAGATACGGCCGAGGTGGTGAGGAAGTGGGTGCAAGTTTGAGCGACAACGGAGCGACAAGAGGGTGTAAAGGAGCAGGGATCCAGGTGGAAAAAGGGTCCCAGCGTTCTAGCTCTTCTAGCTGGTCCATCTTCTCAAGTCGTTTTCCAGAATGGCGGTCATAAAAACAAAACAAGCCGTTAAGGTACCAAACAGGATATACGCATAGTGTAGAGGATGTTGATTTGACCAATCAGAGGCCTCCTGACTGAGGCACCGTCTGCGGTCACCTACAATTTCAGGGAGGTGCACCAGAGTGTCTGCGACACACATGCACACGACCTGGTTTCTGAGTATGAAACACTCTTAAGTCCCCATAAAGTAACATATTCCTGGGAAATTGGTCTCTTACTCATCCCAAACATTATCAAATTCTTGGGCCCCACTACACCTACACACATCCTACACCATTCTGATCGTATTACAAATGGATCAGGGTTAACTCTGTAATCCAGGTAGTATATTTAAAAAGGCCATAATTGATCAAATGCAGCTGTTACATACCTATTTCCTGACTGCTGTGTCTATGTATTATGGTGAGGAATTAGTTATTATCAGTATAATGACCACCATCTGCATTGTTAGAACATGTTTTTTTACTAGGTGAGGCATGAAAAGCATTAGATGGTCCAGATAAGCTAACATTTGGGTTACTGCCTGCCTTTCAGCAGAGCTGTTCTCATTTAAAGCTGTTTTTATACAGTGATACCTGGTCTTATCTAAACTTTACTCAAGTTTCAGCTTTCATCCTGCTCTAAATATATCCTTCTATAAAGCAAAAGCAAAAGAAAAATATAATATTAGTTATACAATAAAACCACAACTTTATACTTTACCCTGCGCGTTTTAGGTCTTGAGTTACATACACCCAGGTTGTACAAAAGAACCTCCCCTGATAAATATCAGACAATGAAACTGAGTGGAATGATTAAACCTGTTGAGTCAGTACTTGTACACATTGCTCTTCAGGAAGCTTCCTTCTTGCTTACTTTATTTTAAAGCTTTGAAACCTCCTTTCTCCAGATTTCTATCATGAAGCCTGTTGCTCATATCCTGGCTGCAGCGGAATACGGCAGATGAAATGTTGTAAGCTGGCTGATTATCTTTTTGCTTATTTTGAAATGTTTTAGTCTTTGTGTTATGAAAGGAACCTTTTTCTTAACTCTGTCTAGTTTATCTATATTTGCATTATGTTTTTTTTTTATAATTGTGGCTATTCTGCTTCTCAGCAATGAGACTCTGTTTTACATATTAACATTTCTTCAATAAATAGGACACAGATCCTTAGTTAGTTTTAGCCTTTTTATCTGCTGTTCTTTAAACAGACAAAATAGTAATGTCTTTATATTTTATTAGCACAGATAATAGCACAGGGCTAGTTCACACAGTATCTGTAAAATTTTGCGGTGGCGTAATGTATGCTGGTAGACATATTGTCTAGGCTAATTGAAACTGTACAACAGAATGCGACCACATTAAGTACAATTAAACATTTTTAAGAAACAGCTTGGAGGTAACATTACTCAAAGTTGACATAACTGGAAATTGATCTAACAAAAGTCTTTACATGGCTGTTTTGAAACTTGTTTTTGTATTTATGTTGCTTGGTAGAGGGTGAAGAAAACATTCATTATTACTGGTTTAGTTGCCCTCATACTGGATCTTATCTTTCTACATATGCTGGTGTCTTTTGTGTGGTTACAAATATAAGGGGACGGATGCAGTTTTTTTCAAATGATCTGAAGGACATGGCTGCTTAATGCATTAATGAATCAGCAATGCATGCATTTATCGGCTGATAAAAGGAAAAAAAAAACAGAATTGGCTGAAAATAATGGGGTGTGCTTCTCTATCTGCAGTTCCAAATAGGAACAGATTGGAACAAGTTGCATCGCTTATATAAAGTTGAGGATGTTTTAAACTTTGTGATGATAGCTCACCTCGATCAACTACACAATGTCCAACTATCTAGACCAGGGGTGTAAACTCGTGTTTAAAACAGACCGCATCAGCATCTTCTAATCTTTAAAATGTTCATTTCAGCTGTATGATGAAAACTAGCCTTAATTCAGTTACATAAAGCTTACTGCTCCTTTTTCTATGATTACTCTCACTTATTTTAGGTTAGAAAAATAGCATTGACTCTTCAATTACAGGTCAGTCTTCTCAAATTTTACAAAATTTTTCCAGAACTCATCAGATAAAGTCTAACGTCTAATTGGTGTACTAAAACAAATGGTCACAAAAATTTACTTTTAACTACCATATTTAGATCTGGAAACATAATCAAAATATATATTTTTTTATTCTTAAAATGTAGTATAAATTGTCATGACTCAGAACAGAAGGACCCAGTATTCAGGAAAACAGACAGTGGGATTGGAGTATCAGCTGCTAGGGCATCTATCATAGGAAACTCTGCAGAAAGGAAACACAGGTTAGTCATAATTATCTAATGGAGAAAGATTATGAATGTAAGTCACTAGCCTGGTTTACAAGTTCAGCCCGTGCCCAGAGAACAAGGTAGAATCCAGTCAGTGGGCTGCCAACAAGATGCAGTGGGCACCGCCCTGAGTGTCATAGATGCTGCAGCCCTGGAGAAAAGAGGACAAGCAGGAGTCCGAAGACAGATCAGGCAAACGGATCAGAACAAATAACAGGCAGGCTCTGAGGTTGAGAGGCAGATCAGTATCAGATCATCAGAAACACTAAGGTATGCTGAAAACACTCTTACCACAGGCTGGAGAGAAGTAATCTGCCCTGATGAATGGAAGCAAGACGTTTAAATAGAGGCAGGAGCAGGTAGATCAGATGAGCATTGATGAAAAACCAGGCAGAGTTAGACAGGTGAATGAAATTAATAATTAAGCTGGTGATCAGCACCGAGATCATGACATAAAGTGACATAAAGTTTTAAAAAGTTTTAAAGTATTTACTAAACATATTTAATCATAATTAAACACAAGTTTACTTATCTTATTCCATACTATCAAGATCTTATGAGTTTCAGGACTTTGCAGCAGAAATAACCAAGTTCAATGAACTTAGGCATATGTATTCACATACTTGGCCTTAAACTTATTTCAATACTTTTCGGTAAAATTATACTCTTGCATACTAATCTTAAGTACATTAAAAATGTTTTATAAGAAAGAAAATGTCCTGTATACAGCTTCATTTTCAGTATAAATAAGCATACTCATTGTACGCTTCAATAATGTAATTTTTGCTAAGTGTAGGCAGAGACAGTGACAGATAATAAATATCCCTCTAAATTCAATGGTGAAGTTGGACATAATGTGGTCTAGCGTAGGTTTCTAGGATTTTATTTGTTCAATGTGTAATACAAGTTAGTGCAGTTTTTATCAGAGACTGCTGTGAGATGAAATTGCCCTCAATTTCTTAAAAACCAAGGATTATAATTGTTTGTCTGTTTTCTATTTCATGTGGTGTAAAGCATAAATAAGTGGAACTAGTTTCCCAGAATAAACGTCCCTACTGGGACAATAAATTCAATTCTGTGTATTATATCTAGTCCTTTGAAAGACAAAGAGAGTGTGGAAAGGTGACCACGCTCTCTCTGTCAGTGCAGCATAATTAACGTGCCTACTGGCACAATCTGAAGCCATTCTATGGGACTGAAAACCACTATATAACAATCATGTGCGTGCATGCGTATTCATCAATCTATTTATGTGTAATTTAAAAATAATTTCAGTCGTTCTTCTTCTCTGCCGCTCCTCTGACCTGGAATGCCCTCCCTGATCATCTGAGAGAACCACAGACTATTCAGACTTTTTAAAAAAGGATTAAAAAGATTTATTTTTAGCAGGACGTATGACTTTTAACATTTTACAATTATGCTATTGATTTTATTCAAGTGTTTTAAAGCGATGTTTAATTTGAAATTATGATTTTACCCTTCTATAATGATTTTACATGTAGCACTTTGAGATTTTTTTTCTTGAACTTAAAGTGCATTACAAATAAAATTTATTATTATTATTATTATTCATGTGTTGCAAAAAAATAAATAAATAAAAATAAAATGATCCACATGCCGCTCGTATTGCACAAAGTAAAAACAATATCTCAGATCTACTATCAACTGGGTTTTAGAATCCTCACGCTATAAATATTTAATTCTCTGTTAAACAATGCCGATCATTCTTTAATAAGATCCTCATCTAACACACATGCAATGTTTGTTTTTAAACCTAATGTGTGTAAAGAACCTATTGAATGATTTTTTTAGTTTTTTTATGCACAAACTATGACAAAACATTAACTAAACTACGAAATAAAACAGTGATTGGATGTAAGGAATGCAGAGACAGAGGAAACTCTATGTAATGCATATTACATGCTGGTCTGACGTGGTATGCTGAGCTGACAGAACACCGGGCGGGAACGGAGCAAATAGTCATCCCACGTGGAGTAGTTTCTTGTGATTGGCCTATACAAGGGAGCTCTGTGATTAGTTGCAAACCATCCCGTTTAAAAATGGTTTTGTGTATCAAGGCTCATCAGGAGAGTCTCAAAAATCCACAGACAAATGCAGTGAAGTTTAAAGACCACTGGTACTTTGTAATTTAATTCATAATTGTTTACGGACCAGAAATACTTTGGCGAATCATGCTGTGCATGTGTGAATCTTGTGTGCTTGCTTGAGTGAATCGTGCTGTGTGTGTCGATCTTGTACTGTGCGTGTATGAATCACATACTTGTATTTGTGAAAATTGAGACCTATTTAGCTCCATACAACCTTGTTTATAAATGCTGGAGATCGGCCTGTTTTCCAGTGTAGTCCTGTTTCTCTGACCGTGACTGGCTGGATGTGCTTTCTTCATCCTCTGACATGGGAGCTGGCTCGGAGCTCGCCAGCCTGGCTGTGTGTTTTCTGGACGGGGCCTTTTACAGTTGCTTTTTGTATCTCTGCTTCCGTCTCTTTGAACCCCAGTCGGCCTCGGCAGACGGCCGCTCTCACTGAGCCTGGTTCTGCTGGAGGTTTCTTCCTGTTAAAATGGAGTTTTTCCTCTCCACTGTCGCTACAAGCATGCTTAGTGTGAGGGATTGTATTTGAGTCAATGAGTCGATGCAATCAACTGGTTTTCCTTCGATAGAAAACTTTGAATCAATTTGACTGGATGATCTGGTGAACTGTGAAGGGCCTTGAGATGACTTGTGTTGTGAATTGGCGCTATATAAAAAAAATGAATTGAACTGAACAGTTGCAATCAGTCGATTTTAGTGTAGCTGTCAATGAGACTTCTGCTTCTCTCGGAAGGGATTTTGGTCAACTCTTCCTAAGTAAACTGCTCTCGCCGTCTTATGTTTGAAGGGTGCCGTCCAAAAAAAAAAAAGTGATTTTTGATAACAAGAGTAAATGTGTAAATTAATACAGCTGATATTACAACCCTTCTAGATTACATGACCCCACAGAATAAAAAATGCCTAATTTACAGCAGCAGACTCCATCAAAAGCTGTCGTCTTTTGAAGACCCATGTTTTCCCACAAGGATAAGTTATCTCAAAAATCAGTAGCGCGTGGGACTTCAGCAGCGCTGTGACCATCCAGTCACAGGCCCGATTCAGTGGCTTGACGAATGTCTGTGTACTGTAGTGTAACATTGTTTTTGCACAGTAAAAAGTGCATTGGAACTAAAACAGACTTGCCCCCCCATGCCCATTAATGATACACAGCTATTTAAAACGGATACTAGTGATCACATAAGTATTTTTATTATATTGTGTAGTTGGATGTGTGTGTATATATATAAAACTGTAACTGGAGCTGTCACGTCTTGGTTGAGGTTTTGAGGACCCAAATGAAGAGGTAGTTTTAATGAAAATGGTAAACAAAGGCAGTCCAAAAATCCAACTAAAAATTTAACAGACCAGAACCATGGAGACATCAAGGGAAAACACGTACATAGAGCCAGGGAGAGACGAGGGGAGACGACTACAGCGAAGACAGGACCAGCAACAACAAGGAACCAACAAAGAGTGAGAGCAGAGGGATAGCATAAATAGCTGACAGAGACAAAGGGAGGGCTAACGAGCTGACAAGGAGCAGGTGTGAGAGGAGACAACGAGGGAGGCAAGGGGAAAGGAACACACAAAAACACACACAAAAGGGCTACAGAGGACAACAGAAAAACATGAGAACTAACAAATCTAGAAAATACAACAAATCTGGAATTAAACCAATAAAACTAGAAAAAAAGGAGCAAAGTAAAGAACAACAGAACCAAGACCATGACAGGAGCATGTAACAAAAGCAATTTCCCTCTGGGATTATTAAAGTATTTCTGATTCTGATTCTAAGGTACTAAAATATAGTAGCATGAAGTTTATATTGTATATAATGGGGCTTTTTCTATAATCTAGTTTCAATTTTAACAACACAAAATGTCGACAGATGGTGGCAGTGTAGAGACAATGTTTATGTATGCTGACCTTACCCTTTTTAAGGCTAAAAAAACAACTAGGTAAACACTATCATAACAAATGTAGTTTTTTTAATTTGACGATCAATATATGCTTTTCAGTGTTCATATTATATTCATAGTCTGCCAATAGGTTGGTTTAAGTTAAATTGTGATTTTAAATTAGATAGATAGTAGGTTCAAAGTTTTGCTTTAACCTTTTAAGATGTTTGTCAAAGTTGGACACTTCTCTCCAGACAACTGTTTAAAATAGGAACTTATTTTATCCGCTTAGCATTGTTGTAACACATTTCTTCTATGTCTGCACTTTTGAACTGCTGCTGTATGTCTTTTTTTTTATCTTTGGCTTTTATTATTTGCAATACTTAGATTGACCTTAGTATATTATTGGCTTCACTGTGTCTATCCTTATAATATTCTTATTCCTTATTTGTAAGTGTTTTATACAGTTTTCAGTTATATGCAGCAATTTGTTTCAGCTGTGGTTGTTTCAAAGTGGTTTACAAATGACGTGTGGTATGGATTGCCATAGATTTTTTGCTGTATCACATAAAATCCCATAAAATTAAATGAAAATTGTGATTGTTAAGTAACGTCATTGCAACGTAACAAAGAAAGGTTTTTCGATATACAAAGTACTCGAACCATGTCAGAGAATTTCAGTAATGTTACGTTTGATAAAATGTCTCCAAGAAGAGAAAATGTAGACGGTAGACCTTTTTACTTTAGTAAATTCTTCAAATTGTTCCCATATTTTCTGAATGGGTTGCATCCTGAAACCTTTAGCATGTAAGGAAATTGACTGATTACATGTTTTTATTAAATGTTTTTTTTTTGTATAATGCAAAGTATTACTGTAACAGTAATCCATGCCTTTGTTACATCTTGGCTGGATCACTATAACACACTTTATTTTGGGGTGAGCCAGTTGGTGCAAAAAGACGCTGCATGCTTTAAGCTGGAGTACGCAAGAGTGAACACATGACCACATTCCTGGCCTCCCTCCATTAGCTGTCTGTGCATTTTAGAGTCCATTAAAGATTATTGTATTTGCTTTTAAGTCTTTAAATGCTCTTTAAATAAAGTTTGTAACTTTCCTTGGTATAAACAGCACTTTGTGGTGGCTGAAAGGGCTCTAAAATAAGGTTGAGTTGAGCTGAAAGTATATGTTAAGATTTTAGCCTTCGTCAAACATGTTGGAGGAAGCACGTTAGGGATTTATTTGAGCTATAGGAATGGTGATGTTCGACTTGTCTGGAAAGGTTATGCAGTGATCTCTAAAGAGGAAATTTAAGTCCACATACATAGCAGATTACACATAATAAACTTTTGTTTATCTGAATTTATTTTCCCAAAGAGCTTTAATTAGCTAAATTTGCAGAGATTTTTTTCTCTTTTTTTCAGGATTTGCACAAATATATGTAAAAAAGAAAAAAAGGCTGGCGTCACGTGATCCAGAACAACCATGGTCATGCAACTGCATACCTTCAACTCCTTACATAAGAGAGGCATTAAACACAGTTTTTTTTTTTTTTTTTGGCAAGACAATAAGTCTGTCACGGAAGTTTTAGGCCCTTTTCTGTCAGATGTAACACTGGAACCGGTTTGGTAGGGGATTCCTCACTGACACTCAACCAACAGGAACTTAGAGTTTTGGCAGGGACTATAAAAATGCAATTACTGTATGTAAGAGGATTATTTTTCCCAACTCACAACAAAAGCTTATCTCTTAGCTGTTACGCTCAATTAAATAAGGTGAAGATAAGAGCTGTTTAAACTGCACAAGCAGAATATAAATTATCTAATAAACAGCGGAATACATATTATCTTACATTAAAAAAAAAAATATTTTCATATATCAGACAGAAAATCGCAAGCCAAGTCAAAACCTTCAGAAAATGCAAGGAACATACAAGACCTTTATTGAATTAGATATTTGATTTAAACATGAGGTACTATTCTTGACAGGTTTCCTACCTGAAATCAGAAACCGGATGACCAGAATGCTACCCTGGTTTTATTAGATCTTCCTGAAACAGAAGCAATGCTATGAGGGAACTTCTTGGAGCAGTTCGGCTGAGGTCATCCTGAAGAGATCACGTCACTATAGGTTTGTATGGTTTGGAAACACCCTGGGGTATGTGTGTGAACAGACATCTGTCAACACGAAAGATGGTTGTCTAAATTTCAGTAAAGTCAAAGTATGGCTTGAGAGATCAGGGATCTGTGAGACAATTCAAGACTTTTTTTTTTATTTTTTTATTTTTATTTTTTTTTCAAATTAAATAAAAAATTCACAGCTGAAACAAACAGAATATGTAGAAAAAAGTTATTATCATTAGAAACAACTGATCTTTTCTTTAATCAAAATAGAATTTTTTGTGAAGAGAATATTTTATATTGCAATTGCTGTGTGTTTATGTTTTAGCCTAAATTTTTGCACATGCACAACTAACAGCTTTGGGCACACTTTGCTTTATTTTCTGTTTTTGTGAACTTGCATTCGCTGACCAGGTGTGTAGACTGGTGTCAATTGTTTAAACCAGACATCAACTATTTTTATCCAGGCTAGCTCTATAGTGGTGCTTCCATGAGGAGCCCCATGCTTCTCACCAGATGGAAGGGAGAGGTTTGAGACTCATGCTTGTATCTGGCTTTTTTAACCATCGTGGATGGAAAAACTTGGCATTCTGTTAATCATTGTAGGGAAAGTCAGATCTTCCCAGATTGACACTATTAACTTGGCTACAGCAGCTTGGACTTTTTAACTGAGACTTAAACATGTGCTAACTCTTGTAACTGTAAGAGGAGAGAAGCTGTCTGGCTATTTGTGAAAAATTGTTAGAGTAGCCTGGGTTATTAAACCATCAAAGAGAAAACCTGCAATAAGGACATTTGGTTTCTGGCCTTCTAGGCCTTCTGGCCCATAAGTTCAGGAGCCTTGACCAAAGAGCTTTACACTACATTCAGTCTTTTAACCCATTCAGAAAGACACACTGATGGTGGAAAACTATTATAGCCACAGCTGCCCTGGGGCTCACTGAGAAAAGCAAGACTTTCGCACACAGGTTGCATCGAGTCCTCTAACCACCATTAGTAGGCAATGTGGGTGAAGTGTCTTGTCCAAGGATACAACGAGATTGAAAACTGAGCTAGGGGCATATCCCAAACAGTTACCAACAGACTCTAGACACAGCATCCCCAGACTTTTGGAGTTTACAATGTAGAATCCTGCAGAATCCCAAAAGCTTTGTAAAGATCGTGTTCTAATTTCTCCATTCATTTTAATACCATCTAGCCTGAACTTCTCTGGGACTAGTCACGATCCTTTAGCGGTGAACCCCCAAGCATGCTTGCAGGGGTGGGCAATTCCAGTTTCTGGGAGCCTGTATCCCGCAACTTTTAGATCCACCCTTGGTCCAACACAGCTAAGTCAAATGACTGAGTTACCTAAGTATGCAGCCAGTTCCTCCAGAGTCCTCCTAATCACCTAATTATTTGATTCAGGTGTGTTAAACCAATGGCAGATCTAAAAGTTGCAGGATACCGGCCCTCAGGAATTGGAACTGCACATCCCTGCCTTAGTGGTTGCATGCAGCATGTAAGGATAGTGGGCTGTGTATCTGAAAGGATGGTCCGCAGTACAGGGACCAACACTGGGGGAAGTTCTCACATCTTTTCTGTTCACCTGCTACATTGCAACTTATCCATCTACTCCCCTGGCCTCCACCTTCAGGAGTTCTCAGACAACTCAGCCATTCTTATTCTCATCACAGCCGACAATAACTGATAGGAAAATCTTTGTATGCAGCAAGATTTATGTACTGGTGTTGAAAAGTCTTTGGATTGCATTGGCCCTTCTCTCTGCATGGATGGGTTTTGAGGTCGATGACGGTTTGGGAAATGCTCCATTTGTGAAAGCAAAGCTTTTCTCCTTGCTATTAATAAAACAATCGTAAGGGTCTGCCCTGTCAGAAAGGACATGACAAAAGGCAGTATGAATTTTTAGTCATAGTACATGACAAGACCGTTTTAAGTTAAGCCAATTCTGTTTCAGCTGCACTTCGCAACAATAATCTATGTATGTTATCACTTAGATGGATAATAAAATATAAAATAAAAATAAATAAATTGAACTTTATTGGTCTTACAATGGAGAAATTAACTCTTTGCATTTAACCTTTCCCCTTTGGGGAGCAGTGAGCTGCCACTGTGCAGTGCCTGGGGCTTAAGGGTCTTGCTCAGAGACCCAGAGTGGCAGTCTGTGGGAATGGGTTTCAAACTCTATGCCCTAACCACTGGACCTGCACTCCCCCATCATTACATATGAACTTTATGATGCAATTATTACACTTTGTAGCAGTTTTACTGATTGTTTTATTACTTTTGTAGTGTACAGTGTTAACTTTTTTAGGTAAAATTGGTCATAATATCCATTTATCATTATATTCTACTGTGACAGCTGTTCATTTATTTTCTGTTGAGGAAGCTAATATGGTATAGTTATTATAGATACTTTAGTTGTATAAATTAAATTGTAAAAAGTAACGTTATTTTTTTAAATTAATAGTCAGGTGATATTTCTGTGTGTCAAATGTTTAATGGCTTTGTGGGTTTTTTTGTCTTTTGTTTTGTTTCTTCAGCATTTACCTAAAATATTTTCTAAAGGAATGGCAATAAACAAGAGGATCTTGACCATCTTAGTCCTCCTGGTAACACTGCTCGTCTTGGAAAAAGGAAACTTCAACTTTCATTTTCACTCTCCAGTCTTGGCTTTTCTAGTAAGCCCACTTTATTTACTTGCAACAGTAAACACAGAATGCGGGAGTTGTTCACGATCACACAGGTTCATGTTCCATATAAATAACAAGGAAATGATTCTGTTGTTCCAGGAACCACACGGTGAAGCCTTTCTTTCTCACACACGACAGAAAAGGAATGGTTAGTTTGAAGCAGTAAAAGGCTTGATTAATCCTAATGTTATGAAAAAAACGACTACCAAAATATTTTAGGTGACTATGTGATTGTAGAAAAGATTACATATAAATTTCAAACATTAACTATTGCAGTTCTTTTGGACCCTGGGATTTACACAGCAAGCATTTTAATAAATACATCAAATGCAGAAAACTATGAGCAGCTCCTATCAAACCTGAATGCTACCAGCTTTCCTCTGGAAATTGATAACGTCACAGAGATCCAAGATATTACTGTCACTACAGGTGAGTGTTACTTCTGAGATGGTTTGTTGACAAAAAAACATCTATATCACTGATACAGTATATAGCATTTATGTTTAACATTCTCACACACAGTTTGTGTCTCCACTGATGCTGGCTTCCAATGTGAGTGTGAAGAGCAGTTTGCTTGGCCCTACAGGACCTGCATCTCATATGGAGCGTGTGACTCTATATCAGGTGGTATCTGTACATGCATCAAAGGATTCCCAGCTGATGGCTCATCCTGTCAGCTAATATCAGGTTAGCATGGCTCAATTATAGATGGAAATACTGTGACACATGTGCCTCCTCCATATATATTACAGTTTGCGAAAATTAGTAATCCTGTCATGATTTAGCAGGTTACTAGCCCAAGATGCAGAACTCCACAGACACTGAGGCAGGATTAAAGTCCAATATTTATTAGGATCCACACAGGGTTCTGCCCTGGAAGGCAGGGAAGACAGAGCACAGGTTAAACTCAGGGACAGATTAACAAGCTCAAACTCACTGGTTCGCTGGTTCAGACCAACTGGGTTTAACAGGCACAGATAAGCAGATTCAGGCAGGCATGGCAATGGCATGGCAGAGCATGACAAGGACAATGACCATGGCATGGCAAGGCAAAGCAAGGCAGCACATGGCAACAATGACTATGACCACGATCCGGCTCAGAGTGAAGCTATCAAACAGCTTATATAGGGAGAGGTTAATCAGCAGAGCTGATAGGAATCAGCTGAGCGCAGAGAACCAGCTCCCAGGAGAGGATCCATGGCGCCCTCTGGTGGGCAAACCTCTGGATCCCAACAGAAATAGAAGCCCAAAAGGAAGGGATCCACACAGCCCTCTGGAGGGCAAACCCTTGGATCCCAACAAATCCTTTAATCTTCAGTAGTAATAATATTTTTTACATGCATGAATACAACTAAAAATGACACGTGAAAATATTCTGTACTGGGTCAGATTATAGTGAAACACTTATAGTAAGTGAATTTAAGTGGATATAAGTTTTGCTGTCTATATCCTTATTTACAGTACATGTTGTGATGCCAATAGCTTCTGATATCTTACATCCTAGCTCCTCTGCTGCCTGTCTAAAGCCTTCTTCTTTATTGTCATCTTGGGGTTATTTTCTGAATGTATGCCGTCCCCAGTTTAGAATTCAGCTTTATTGTCATTACACTGCCACAAGTACAGAGCAACGAAATTCAATCTCTGCATTTGGGGAGCAGTGGGCTGCCATTGTGCAGTGTCCGGGGAGAAGTGTGGGGTTAAGGGTCTTGCTCAGGGACCCAGAATGGCAGACTTTGGGAGTGGGCCTTAAATTCAGAACCTCTGGGATCCAAGCGCAATGCAGCCACTCCCGTAGGTGAGCTACGTAGAAAATGTAATGAGTTAAACTAAAAGTTATTCTAAATTCTCCTCAGGTTTGAGTGTGTGCGCGAATGGCTGTTTGTCTTGTTTGTCTCTGTGTTGCCCCGCAATGGACTGGTGACCTCTCCAGGATGGACCCTGCCTGTCGCCTGTAGATAGCTGGAGATAAGCACCAGCACCCCTTGCGACCCCGCTTGAGATAAGCACGATGGAAACTGGATGGAAATTAAATGCAATAAATTAACATTTACATTAAATTAGAAGACATGTGTGTGTGTGGTCTTGTGTTTAATACATTGTATGGCCCATTTTAAGGGAAAATAGCACATTGTGGGGACTGGCTGATCCTTGTGGCACCCAATGACTAGACCCCAAGTGGGGAATAGCTGTTTTTGGGTCAGGGGTCAGGTTTCGGACTAAGCTATGAAATTAATTTATGTTGGGATTAGGGTTGTGTGTGTGTGTGCTCCTGTTTTAGAATACAAGTAACAAACTGTTTCAGTTTCTAAAATTTGGAGTGATAGGTTTATCTAAGGACAGTCCCCGAACAAGGTCTTTGATGTACAAATTTCTCCTTTTCCAATATCTTACAGAGTTGCTTGTTCAGACTGAATATGAAGTTGATTTGGAGCTGAATGTAACAGATGTTGCAACAGTGGATTTCCTCAGAATTCTTCTGAACAATGGGAGCGCTTTTACTACAAACGCTGTAGTGAATGTCACACAGATTGCCTTCACTACAGGTAAGAAATTATATGAAAGATATTGTTCGCAAGACCATAAAAAACTTAAAACACAGTTCCCATTTGGAGTGATCCTGTTGTAATATTATCTATCTAATGTTTTCCCTCCAGTTTGCTCTCCAAACGGCGGTGGTTACCAGTGCAGATGTGAGGATCAGTATCGTTGGTCATGTGACCAGTGTCAAACATATGGATCATGTGACAACATAACTGGAGACACTTGTGGATGCATTAATGGCATTCCTGCTGATGGACAGTACTGCCAGTCTCTGGATCAATACAGTGAGTTCAGTTGGAGTTGGTAAAAACCTTGATGTGATTTCTCCATTAAATGGAATAACCTGATCAGATCACTAGATTCTCTAAGGCAAAGATATGTTTCGCCCTGAAGGAAACTACTGTCAGATTCTGTTAAGTCTTCTACTCATCAAAGAATGTTTGGTTTACTTCTAGTTTTGCTGTGACATAAAATGTTTTGTACATAAATGGTAAATTCTGAAGCAACAGAAAATGTGTGAAACAGCATATCTGCTGTTGAAAGATATTATGCCATCAAGTCTAGCCAAATAAGTTTTGATTCAAACAGTGTTTTTCAGTTAGTTTAACACAGAGAGAATCTGGTCTGGTTATGTTAGGCTGTGACCTACCTGGGGAAAAATCAGTATCTTAGATGGTGCATAATGTGAATTGGCACTATAAAATAAAATTAATTTGATTTAACTGAGGGAACCTACAATAGAGTGAGGCATATTTTGAAAGTAATGCCATTATCTATGTATCTATATGCATTCAGTCTCTCCTTCTTTCTCTTTATCTTTACAGACTTTACAAATTGCTCAGATACCACAACAGCACGTAAGATAGTCGTTTTAATACATAAATGATATAGAACTGTATTAATCTGAAATAGAAACACTTTACCCACTCTAACTTTTGTCCTAAATCTCATTTTTAATTTCACTCCCTGCAGCCCCACCATTTGTTTATCTCTATTTTCTTCATGTTGAGCTGAACAGTACAGATGTTGCAGCTGTTAGAGAACTGAGGAAAATCAGCTACCCCATCAGCATCAACAGCTACATAGAGATCTCTGATGTTAACATCTCTACCGGTAAGACCAATAGATTCAAAGATTTACTATTATGCTGTTAAATGATAGGTAGACATTGATATATTTATGCATGATAAACCAAAAAAAAAAATATGCATGAAGCAAATGAGTTTGTATTTGTTTCCATATATCCAGAAGTTGTGAAGAAGATCTCAGTTTGAAAGTGAACTTTCCACCTATCTAATCAGACCTGCTGTAACTGAACTGTTTCTCCTTCAGTCTGCTCTCCAATCGGCGGTGGTTACCAGTGTAGATGTGAGGATCAGTATCGTTGGTCATGTGACCAGTGTCAAACATATGGATCATGTGACA